GGATTAGGACCCCAGACTCCAGATTCTGACTGCCAGAGTTCAAATCCTGACTTTTCTACTTTCCAGCTGTGTGACTTTTAGCAAGTTACTTACCCTCTCAGAGACTGTCTTCCTCTTCTATAAAATGGGATAATAATACCATCTATTTCTTTGGGTTGTGGCAGGAGATTAAATGAGTTAATATTGCAAGCGTCTGGTGTCTAATACACACTTTGATCAATTATAATTATTACCAGGGCCTTCACTGTGTGGGCTTCACCTCTCTATTTCTTTCTCCCTCTAGAATGTGGGGCCTTGAGACAAAGGCCCCGTCTTCTTAGGTTTTGCATTGCTAGCACCTCACATTTGCCTGCTCTGTGCTCAGTAAATGGTGCGTCGAATTGTCTAATTGAGTTGTGGGTAGAAGAAGGTGAAGTCGTGGAAATTCACTTGCTTTACCAGAAAAGATAGCTGTGCACTTTTGAAAATCGTATTCCACTTTTCCGTGGTTCTATGTTCTGTTTTCAGAGAAGCTCTGTGACTGTTTCTTGTTCTTCGTGTGGCATCTCAGTGATCGTAGTCAACAGCCCACAAATAAATTAAATCCGTGTTTGAAATGCACGGAGCTCCTCCCTGATTCAGGGGATCCCGAAGTCAGGCATTTTGAAAGCAATTACTGTGCTTCCACGGAATGAAAAACCATCTCCTGTATTTGATGATCTCCAGTCTCGACCCCTTGCCCTGAACAGTCCTGGGCTCCAACCACGTTCTGTTGGCTGGTGGTTGTGGTGATTAGCTGTGTTTTTGTTGTTGCTGTTGTTCCTTTGTTTTGTTTTTTAAACCATTTATGGCGGTCCCGTCACACCAAGAGCTTTACATGTTTCGTCTCGGTTCCTACAACACCCCCATGTGGTAAGTCTACAATGATGCGCGTTTTACACAGGAGGAAACTGAGCTTGGGAAAGCCTGGAGACCTTGCTCAGCGCTCCAGCTCTGAGAAGTGGGACTGGAACTCAGATCTTCCTTCCTTCAAAGCCCAGGCCTCCAACTCCCAATTCTTTTCCCTGGATGTCTGCCCTTAGATCTCTGCCAGGAGCTTCAGATATAAAACGGCCAGAATTAAACTCCACGTCCTCAGCCCCAAACCTCCTCCTCTGCCTGGCCTGGCTCAGGGCCGGGTCCACCCAGCTGTGTAAGCGGCCAGGACTCTCCCCTCTCCATCTCCATCCTCGCCGTCAGGTCCACCTGCACATGCTGCTCAAGTCCATCCATTTCCCTCCATTTCTGCTTCCATCTAGAGGACAGAGATATCTTCCCCGCCCATGCCCCTGCCTCCAGTCCACCCACTCCCTCCCAGCCATTCTCCCCACCACTGCAGAGCTGTTCTTGTCACATCTCTCCTTTAAAAAAAAAAAAAGGTGCAGTTACTCCAAACTTCTCTTGAAGATAAAGCAACTCGAGGCCATTGGTGATCCCACCTCCGCTCACCTCACCAAGCCTCCTTCTCACCTCTGCCCCTCCTCTGCCTCCTGTCCCCCACTTCAGCCAAACAGAAGCTGCAGCCCTGCCTCTGATGCAGCTGAGCCCGGCTGGAGTGCGTGGGAGCCCGCAGGACCATGCGAGGCAGAGCGTGAACTGGAAAGACACAGGCCTTAAAGACCGGCAGCCTTGGCTTGCATCGTTGGGAAGTTGCTTGCCCATTCTGCAGCCTCATTTTCCTCATCTGTAAAATGGGGATAAGAGCACTACTACCTTATAGGAGCTCTATCTGAATCAGGGAAATTCCAGGCAAGAAATCTAGCCCATCACTGGGCAAACAGTAAGTGCTCCGTAAATGCAGGAGATGGTGGTAACAGTATGTGAAACAGGAGTTTTGCTGTAAAGATAAATTCCTGGGGGCGGATTTTTAAAGCAGTGGACTCTCTCGTCTGGGAAAATATGAGGTATGAGCCTTTAAACAATGATGGCTCGCCGGTCCCTCCTGTGTTCTCCCGAGAGAATCAGACACCTCTTGCCTTGCAGCACAGCTTTGGGAAAACTCTGGCCTTTTACTATACGTGGCTGGTCCTCTCCTTCTGCTCCCCACCACCCCACCTGCCTTCCTTCCCAGCATTTTGCACATGGCGTGGATTCTCTCTCATTTTCATTCAGCGAATGTGCATACTTCATTTACTGAGAGGTTCTCGTGGCCCAGCCGGTTTGGCATGGACTTCTGTGAGGGCAGCTTCCCGATTGCAGACTAAGCCCAGAGCTCTCCCCTGCCGGGGCATCCCGTTGTGATGAAGAATATGCCGAGTCACAGGCAGTGACAGCGGATCGACCGTACACTGCAGCCACACGTGTCCAGCTCAGCGCTGTGCGGCAACAGAATCACCGGGTGCTTAAGCTCTGGCGTTCACCTTACGCGTTCAGCCTTTGAAAAACTCTCCCAAGACACAGTTACGCATTAAGCAGGTTGAGTTCTGATGACCTTAAGGGTAGCTTGTCCTCTAGCCTTCCCCATCCAAGTCCAACCTCTGGCTGCTGCCCCAGCCTCGCTTCCCCCAGACCCCACGCCAGAGTCAGGGAACCAGAGGCCTCGTCCAGAGGTCGCACCGCAGCTCCGGGCTCCCATCTCCAGGGCCTCCCAACTCCAGTAGTTTGCTCATCAGGGCAGGCCCCAAAATGAGGAAGAAACATCTTTTTAGACTGGAAAAATAGGGCTGCTGCTGTTTTATGGTGGTGTGGTTTATGGTTTTCAAACATTTTAATTAGTTTCATTTTTTAATATAAATGCACCCTGATGTTTTGTGCAGGAAGGGCACGGTTCTTAAAATCTCAGAAATAAAGTAAGAGAATGACAGATTGGCTATTAAAGCGTCACACTCAGATGTGTTATTATTATTATTGTTATTTAACATTTCTAAGCGCCGACACTGAGCCAGGAGGTAGAGGGTGGAGGGTGGAGAGTAAGAGGGCCAGAGGTGCCTACCACTCAGGGTAGTGGTGTGGGGGGCTCCCCGAGGATGGGCAGTTGCTCTCTCAGCCGCCTGAGCTAGCCCTGCCCCCAGGGAACTTCTCAGGATGCCAGTCAGCCATCTGCTTTGTGGGGGGAGAACACAATGGGGGGTTGGGGGAGGGTCTAGGCTTTGTGCCCCAGCTCTGTCTATGTTCACTGTGAACTTGCTAAGACTTCTCACCCAGCCCACCCACCCAGCCCACCCAGGGAGGGGTTTGAGCTGTGTTTTAGGACAAGCCTCCTCCAAAGAAACCCGTCTCTTCTTTAAAACATTTGACTCGAGAAAGAGGGGCTCCATAGACAGGATTGGACTTCCAGGGCACTCTCTGTGTAGTGGCTGAATGGCGGCACCCCCCCCCCGAAATATATGTCCCCACAGAACCTCCGAATGCGACCGTGTTTCGAAACAGGGTATTTGAAGATGTAATTAAGGTAGGGTTCTCGAGATGAGATCATCCTAGATGAGGGTGGGCTCCAAAGCCATTGACAAGTCTGCTTTTAAGAGCAAGGAGAGGGACACTGGACACACAGACAGAGAAGGAGGCCATGTGAAGACAGAGATTGGAGTGATGCTGCCACAAACCAAGGAATGCCTGGAGCCGCCAGAAGCTGGAGGAGATTAAAATAAAAAAAGAAAAAAAGAGATTCTCTCTTAGAGCCTTCAGAGAGAGTGTGGCCTCCTGATATCCTGATTTTGGACTTCTGGCCTCCAGATCTGAGAGAGGATAAACTTCTGTTGTCAAAGCTGCTAGTTTGTAGTAATTGGTTGCGGCCACGCTAGGAAACTCCCGCTCTCCGTGAAAGCTTCTCTTCCTAGTGTCTCCTTAAAGAAGGCCCACCTGCGCGGGGGCTGGTCTTTTGCGAAGGATGCTTTTGATGCTGAGTTTAATCCAGGAGCAGGATGGCCTGCTGACCTCCTGTCTGCTGAGCTGAGATGGAACATCATCACACCTTTTTCCTCGATGTCAAAAAATGTTTCCACAAGCTTTCTAATGACCACCTGCCTGCTTCCTGTAACATATGGACTCCAATTTGGAAAAATTTCAAAGGGCAGTTAAAGTGAGACGCTCCAGTCCTCCCACGTCCCTCTCACAACCTACAGCAGCGTCCCCTTGGAATCTGAAGGTGCCTGGTGCATCATTTGCATGTGCTGGTGTCCCCAAAGAGGAGTATGGATTTATGAGTGTGGGGTGAGACTTCTACTGTGGACCCCACTTAAAGGGAGGTCCTACATCGGGTCTCTTATTTAGCTGAAGTAAGAAAATAGGGATGAACAGGCTTTGCTCGTTATTCCTCTGGCAGAAGGCTCTTGATCAAACTCAGAGAGCCATCGAGGAAATTCTTTAAATCAAAAAACACAGGCCAAATAAAAGCTCCGAGCACTAAGCGCTCCCCTCTTCTCACGGACTTTAATTCAGAATAAAATTCTCTTTGCTGCTATCTCTGCTCCTCCTTATCTCATTGTAATTGAAAGGAGAAAATTTTGCTGGAGCCCTGGCCTCAGCCCCTCCTCGTCTTCAAAGGTCGTGCTTTGATTGTGTTATTTCTAGCAGGTCATTTTACAGAGTTACAAGACGGTGCTGGTCCCCTGATCCAAGGCAGGCCCCCCCAAACCCACATACTCACCTAGACAAACTGTCCGCTAATGTAAGCCATGGCTTCTGGGTCTATTTCAGAAGACGAGAGATGCCCAGGCAGGCTCTAGTTGGCCTAGCAGGCTGTGCTGTGTCTTTTCCCCAGCTGTTCCCGTGAGTCTGGGTATGGAATTAGATTGCAGCCCAATTGTTTACCCAGCTGTTGCTGGCAGCCTAAAACCCATACTGGAGCAGGCATCAGTGCTGCTCAAAGGAAATTTATTCTCTAATGGCTGGGGGACTGGAAGCAGAGCTGTGTACCATGCTCCTGGAGAAAGGCACCCCCCTCCCAGATCTGCCCTCTGGGGATTAGACTGCAGAAACTCTGCGAGTAGAGAGTACGCGTTTGGGAATTAATGGTTCTGCCCAGTGGTGTTCACGCTGGTAAGTTACATCTTGGAAGTGATTTAATGACATGGGTTTAATCTCTTTGGAGGAACACATGAACCATACGAGCTAATCATGTCCCTCCAAGCCCATGGCGACACTGCAACCCCAAGCTGGCAGTGCTGGGGCAAGTCCTCAGGCCCAGAGGCTGAGCCGGGGACAGAGAAAGTCAAAGACCACACCACCTGGCATAGGAAGTGACATTCAGCCTCAAACAAGGAGGTGAAGTGGAAGACGCAGACCATGGTACCTACGGGACCCCCACGGCAAGAAGTGGCCATCCGAGTGGGCACAGTATGCGGAGGGATGCGGAGAGGACCTCAGGAAGCCAAATGAATGAATAGATTGGCTCAGCTGGGCGAGTCTGCAAGCGACTGCTCCCGAGAAACAGCGCCTTTAAAGGTCAGGGCGGTTCTTCCGAGCGCTCAGCAACATGGCAGCTGAAATCGGTATAAGAAAGGAGATAGATTACAGGAGGTGGAATCCGTTACTGAAAGATTCTTGGAGTCTAGCAACGATCGCTGCAGCTCACTGCTAACCGGAGATTTATGTGACAAGATTATCGATGGTATTAAGCACATTTAGAAGAGAGGATTATACCTACTTCTGGGTCAGGTCCGTGCCACCAGGCCCCTGTCTGGCCAGCCTGTTAACAGATGGACCGCCGGCTGCATGAAGGTGAAGCTAAATATTTGCACAGTCACGGGAAGTGGGGAGAGTCAGATGATGCGTTTAGTGCTGAGTGGCTAAGTTCAAATTCAAGGGAAGAATCTGGCTGGGAGTCTCTGCCAAATCTGAGGAAAGCTCCATTTCCACCTCCTCTCATTCTCCTCCCCACCCCAGCAGCCTCCCCAGATCTTTGGCTTGGTGAACTCCCTCACCAAGAGGAGGCGACCCATGGGTAACTGGAAACTGGACGCTGGTGTCGGGAGACATCATCGAGGGGCGATAGAAAGGAGACTGTGCCAAGCCCACCAGCCACCTTCCCAGAAAGGAACTTCCACACAATAGCAGACTCTTCTCAAGAGGAGGAGAAGCTCTGCAGTGGCTCTGCCACCGGAGAGAGTTTAAAATTAGACCAGGAAAAGCTCCGGAGACTCTGCTGTTGGGAGCAGTTCTCGGTGGCCTTTCAGAGGGCAGCTGTGATGCGGCTTGATGGGCTCCTTCCTCCTCTGATGGTGAAGCCCAGCCGGGAGCCGGGACTGAGCAGAGGGACAGTGAGTGGCAAGCCTCTGGGAAGGCTTCACCGGCTCAGTATGCCCGCCCACCCCGCCTCCGTCTCAGGGATTGTCGAGGAACCTTTGAAGCTGGAAGCAAAGCTTCACTTGAATGTGACTCAGAAAATGTTACTTTTTAAAAATTATGGTAAAATATACATAAGCCTATAATTCACCACTTTCAAGTGCACAATTCTACGGCGTTTAGTACATTCACAAGGTTTGTAACCATCATCACTCTCCAGTTCGAGAACATTTTCATCAGCCCAAAAGGAAACCCAGACTCATTCAGCAGTCACTCCTCATCCCCTGCACCTTGAAAGTGTTCCCTTTCTAAGTCGAGATAATAAGATGTTTGCATGGAATGTCCACTTTGCCAATCGGGGAGGAGGGAGAGGGGCCTTGTGCTTGGCTTATCCGCCCCTCCTAAGGAGGTGCGTGCCCCAGTGCCTTAGCACACTCAACACTGTATTTTAGTTGTCTAAACTCTTTCTCTTTCCCCAACGGGTGCTGCCAGTGTCTTATTCCTCTCTGTCACCTCCGCTCTAGCATAGCAGCTGGCACATAGCATGCCTCGGCCACCTTTGTTGGACGAAGGATATAAAAACCAGTAATTCAGTAGCTGATATGCTCCTTCTTCTTATTTGGGGACATAGCTCTTTGTCCTCGAGTTGTCATACTTCTGAACCCTGCATAGAAAGAAGCAAAATCCAGAGCAGGAAGAAAAGGCCCTTCATGTTGCTGCTTCTAATTAGATGCCCTGTTAAATTGCAGCAATTTTGCTCTGTGGTTCCCTCTCAGCATGTCTAGAAGCTCTGAAGAAGCTCTTAACCAGGAAAGCCAGGAGTTCATTTTATTCTCTTCCTCCTTATTTTCTTTCGCAGGCCAATTTACTTTTTTTAGCCGTTTTGCTTTTTGCCTCTGCCGTTTGTTGAGATTTGTGTATTTAACAATGCTCCTTTCAGCGAGGAGGTTAGTGTGGTGTCGTGGAATCCCCAGGGCCCCCCCACTAATCACTTTTGATGGAGTAAGACTTGGAGAATCAATTATTTTGCCTCCGAGTCTGAAGAAATTCACTGTTCCCTTGCCCTCTTACACGGAAATAGAAGCCACGGGGAGAGCTCGGCTGGGGCCCCTCCTCTGCAGCCTCCCTGGGCCGCCCGAGGCCCCCTCCCCTCTCTGGTGGGACCTGGAACCATCAAAGGGACAGATGACGATGTTTGGCGCCCATTTGTCACTCCATTGGAGGGAACCAGTTGCAGTGTTAACAGTCAGGCCTAGTCCCGTGTTTCATGAATATTTTAGAATGTTTGCTGGCAGAATTCTAACCGCACTGTGTCCTCCTCGGTGTACGTGTCACCCATATTCCAGAGTTTAATCAGAGCTCTAGGGTAAGGAGGCACTGCTTCTCCATTAGGCTCTTTTATTATCCTAAAACATGCCGGCTAAGCTGCTCCGTGCCCAGGGTCTAAAGTCCAGGTGGTCTCTCTCATTCTTGTGCCACGCCGAATCCTGACACAAGCGCAGGGAAAGCGGCCTAGTTTTTATTAACTGAAAATTCAGGGGCTCGAGAAGGAACAGCCTGTGTTGGCCCCGTTGTAACGTTTTTCTTGCGTGTCTTCCGGCCTGTTCTTCTGTGGTGGTTTATTTCTGAAGTGCCCTCTCACCAGCCTTCCGCTCACCCCAACCCTACCTGTCTTCCGGATCCCACTGTGGGGATCCCATACCCTCCAGTCAGTCTTCACAGAAACCTCGGACAACTCGGCATGTCCGAATCCCCACCAGGTGCTGTGGGCTTGACCCATCCCCTCCGTGGGGACCCAGTGGCAGGGCCTGCTCCTCCTCCTGGCCTCCCCACGGCCTAGCCTGGCACAAAGCTGGACACCAAGTGGGCCATGGAAGGGAGGCTGAATTGGTAAGAGGCCACATGAGGCCCGGAGCTCCCCCTTTGTCCGGTGGGAAAGCACACTGCCCACTGGGAGCAGGCCGAGGAGGCTATGTCCTGGGGCCTCAGCATCCCTCACCAGCTCACCCTCTCCCACCCCTCCCACCTGCTGCCGGGCCAGAGCTCCAAGGGTGCTCCAGACCCGCCCACGCCCAGGCCTCCCCTGCCTGCCTCAGCACCAGGGCCTTGGAGACTCGTGCTGCCCCCATAGGCGAGTCTGTTTTCCCTTCTATGTGGTTTTCTTCTCCACACCACGACAGTGGTGCCTCGGGGCTTCTCACTCCCCATGATGTTTGTGATCAGTCCTGCGGAGGCTCTCAGGAACAGAGGCTGTTCTCATGGAACTGTCTTTAGGGGAGACAGAGCAATCCACTCCAACCTTTGCTAAGCGGTCACACTGACTCCCAGCTTGTGAACAAAAATGAGACCGTGTATGCGGGGCATCTCCATCCCTCTGAAATGGAGAAACTCTCTGAATCCCAAATTCCTGACTGGCTTCCTTTGAAAGAGGCTCCGCTTTGCACACCTTTGCCTCGCGCTGGGCAGCGCACTGTTTGTGAGGCCAGTACATGCACAGGCAGCGTCCGGAGCAGCCTGGGGTCTAGGGACGGGTCTGCTGAGGTCCGCTTGGTGCTGGCCCAGACCCGGCCCTCAGCAGGACTCGGCCCTGGACACCTCGGGGTGAGGCCAACGTGGACCCTGGCCATGGTGGAGCCCAGGGGGCCGTCAGGATAGGCCAGCCAGCCAGCAGGTTAAACAAACAGACAGAAACACCAGAGATCCTTCAAGGGGGCACACAGCTGATGGTAGGTCCGGGGGCCACTGTCCCCGTCACCCTCAGATCTCTCGTGATCCCTGAGGGACAGCGAGTAGTAGGGGGTTGGGATGTATTCAGATCTTTTAGGAATGTGGGATTTGGATCCTTCTTGCACCCAGGATTCTGATAAAAGACACACACACAACACACACTCACACCCTCACGTTCTGTTGACATTGAGGTCTTTAAGTGCAGAGCTGGGAAAAATCCCGTCGGTGGAACATCACGGAAGGCTTCGCGGAGCCAGGCCTGCACATGCAGATTTGTGGGGTGGAGAGGCCAGCCCTAGAGGCCAGGGGGCCTGGAGTCAGTTTTGCACCCCCCACCGTCTCACCCTGAGAGAATCATCCTTCAACATTTCATTCATCAAAAGCTGACTGACTCCCATGCCAGGGGGGTGGGTGGCAAGGGCTGAGGGGGTGTGAATGCCCCTGGCCCCTGCCCACAATGCCTCTCTAACAGGCAGATTCCCAGATGCAGCCACTCCTCCAACCAAAGTTTATTGATTCTGAACCTCTAGGGCTGTGGCCTAGATTTGCATTTTTAACGAGCTCCCCAGGACTTTCATGCACTGAGAGTGGAGGCCGGGGTTGTTCCAGGCTGTCCCAGCAGGTGGACTGGAGGATACCCAGAGGAGGCAGAGAGAATTGGTGCTGGGCCTGGCCCAGAGCCCCTCCAGTCCCCGGGAGGAGCCGCCACCACCACGCGCAGAGCTCTCCTGTCAGGCCTGGGGATTGGGGGGCCACCTCAACAGTGACCTGGGAGACAGTGTCCGCACAGCCAGGCCGTGAACGCTGGGGGGCGTTGCAGGTCTGGTTCGCCTTTGTGTCAGGCACCGACTGTGCCCCAAGACGGATGGTTTCAGACGCTGGTCCTCCTGGCCTTACCCTGTCTGCCCCGCTTCCACATCCACCATAACTCTTCGTTTAGGTGTCTGTCTCCTGCAACACGTGCACTCCTCCAGGGCCCAGGACGTGTCTTATTCATCTTTCTCTCCCTTGCGCCCCGTGGGGTTTGATATGTTGAAGGTGCTCGACAAATGTCTGTTAATTTAATGTAATCAAATCGCTGAACTGAGGCAGAAAAGGGCCTGGCGGCCTGTTTGCCGCTTTCCTTGAACCCAGCCAGCAGGAGTAGAGAGAGGGCCTGGCCTGCCATCTGAAGCCCCGACCCCTCCCCCGGTGAAGGAAATATTGATTCTGCTGTTTGTTTTGCAAGGAAGCTGTCCCCACTGGGACAGCCAGATGTAGTGCAAGTGAAATGGAAACTCCGAGGGAGGCAGTGCTCTCCGAGCTGGTCTATTAATAGGGTGGCCCGGGCGTGTCCAGGCAGAGGAGAGGCCCCGAGCCTGTGGGGCCGCCCTGGAGCTGTGGGCCTTGGGGGCTTACGCTGGAATCCTGCCCACCCTCCCACCTCAGCTCAGCTTTGCTCTGCACTACTGCAGGCAGAGATGGGAAATGCAGCAATGTCAATCCAGGTCACCTTTTAAGTGGGAGCCAAGTTGAGCAGCCTTGGCCCAGACTCCAACGAAGGAAGAACTCTAAAACCCCTGCTGGATGCAGCACAAGGGTCAACAGACAGAAGGCACATTTGGGACCTGCAGGAAAACAAGCTTTGCCTTTCAGCTTCAGAGAAAAATTTGAGTTGAGCAAAGCAGGGCCAACCCGGCAGCCATCTGGATGCTACACAGTCCAGAAGCTAAATCCAGTACCGCCATGACCCACAACAGTTCTCAAGGAGCCTTCCCAAATATCGGGGCTTGGTGGTCTTTACAAGGGATGCTGGTGTCTACAGTGCAGGGCAAATGAGGCTGCCATGTACAGCCGTACAAGCTGTGCACTGAACAACTGTGGACATTCTGGGTCCTACCATATTGTGATAACTTGCAAGGGGATGCATCTGGCATGCTGGGTGAGCCTAGCTGGCCGTTCTGAAGGAGGCCGCCTAAATACTAAGAAATGGAACAGCCAGCAGAGCCAGAAGGCCCAGTGTTCAAACCTCTCACTTTACAGACAAAAACAAAGGCCTAGGGAGGGAAGGGACATGTCCAAGGTCACACAGCATCTATGGCAAAGCTAACTGTATGGCTGGGTCTCCTGGCTCCAAGGCCTCTCTTGCCTCTTGTCACCTTTTCTATTTGATTCCTCTTGTATTTTACCTGCCCTAGTACCAGCAAGAGATGCAGCCTTGAAGGAAGATTACATTCTAGAGTTTTCTGCCTCTTCCCAAGCAGCATTCTAAATTGTGATGTTTTCTCTCAAAGGCCCTAGACTGGGCTGGCCCTTCTGCTGTTTATTCAGGCTTTGGCCCATATGTTTTGACCATTTCACACTCCCCCTCCAGCTCTCCCCAGATTGTTTCCTGTAGGTTTTGGGTTTTATTTTTTGCATCTGCCTCTGCCAAAGTATGTGGGTTGATGTTTAAGACCTTAAAACTCAAGGAGCCTTCAGAGCAATAAATTCTGTCCAAACTCCAGGCGTCCTGCCCAGGCTCTGCATTCCTCTGCAGACCTACGTGAGGCCTGAGGGTGGCCGCACGCGCGTGCTGAGGTCCCCACCCACAGGGAGGCTGCATTTCAACGCCTCGGCTGCAGGGGCAGCATCCGAAGTCCAGGCCGCCTGGAACCCAGGGTCCTGAGTAGCCATTCAGGGACCTAAGACCCAGACCAGTGCGAGGCTAGGAGGGCACAGCTCTAAGTTAGCGGCAAACCAAGGCATCTTGTATTCAGTGGAGGTGGAGGCAGGGCCAGCCAGAGAACACTAACTTATTCATTCATTCACTAAATAAAACATTTATTTAGTACCTACTATGTGCTTAATCAGAACAAATATCCCTGCTTTATTGGAACTTCCATGCCAATGGATGGAGACAGATGAGAAAACAAATAAATAAATGTCAGCTGGTGAAAAGTGCTCCCGAGAAATAAAGCCAGGAAGGAAGTCAGAGAGATCCAGGCTGGAGCGGAGGTGGGCTGCGATACTAAGAGCCTGTTTAGGTGACACCTGAACAAAGGCCTGAAGAAAGCGGGGAGCCACGTGGATATCTGGGCAGGAGCATTCGAGGCAGAGGATGAAGAAGTGCGAAGGCCCTGAGGGAGAAGTGTGCCCGGCCTGCGCAAGGAGCAGGTGAGAGGCCGGTGTCCCTGGGGCATTTGAATTGGACCCCTCTGGCTGCCACGTGGGAGAGTGGACTGAAAGGGGAAAGGACAGAGCTGGGACAGAGTCTGGGGCTCCCGCATCCCCCCCACCTCCAGGCCAGCCCTTTCTCTGGGCTCCCAGTCCACACAACCAGCTGCTGCCTGGGCAAAGCCTTGGGCGCCAGTGAGCAGCTCAGCCTTACTTCATCTTCCATGTAGCCTGGCTGCTGGATTTCCTGACCTGGACGCCCACGTCCAGCCCAGGGATCATCCCTGACTCCTCCCTCTCCCTTACCCCCCACAGCCATTGGCTCATCACTGTCAATTCAACATGTTAAATTCTCCCCATCATCCATCCCCTCCTCTCCATCCCCGTGCCCACCGTGCCGGTCAAGGTCCTCATCCAGACTCCCCTGGATCACTGTAAAGGCCCCTGAATGGGTCTCCCGGCATCCTGTCCCTGTCCCCTCAGCCTGTCTCCCCACCCTCCAGAGACCCCTCCTCGCTCAGGGTGGACTGCCCTCCTCGTTGTGCTCCAGCCTCATCAGCTGTCCCTCATCCTTTCACCTGCCTACTGGGCGGCCACCTGGGAGCAGCGTGGCATTCTCTATGCAGGTTCCTTTCAGCCTTTGCCCTCACTCCTTCCTCTTCCTGAAGTAGCCCCATCACTCCTCCTACCCAGGGGACATTCACTCCCCTCTCAAAACCTCTCCTCCCTGAAGGCTTTCCTGTCAACCCTCCCCCTCCCCCGCCCCCCCAAAGGTGGGATGACCCTTCCCTCCTCTCTCTCCTGAGTCTGACACACACAAGTCCTCAGTCGGTGTCCAGTGGAGAAACAAGGACTCTTGACTTTCCCCCAAACTACTTCCCTCGGCACCTGTCCACTCCAGCCTCTGAGCTGTTCTTGGGCCCTCTGGGCTCAGAGCGTGGAAGGTTTTTGGTAAATGTTAGGTGAATGAGTGGGTGTTTGTTGAGCACCTACTTGAGCCAGCCCACGCCTACTCACTGCTGTGGAAAAAAAGGAGTTAGAGAAGCATCCTGGGGAGAGTTCTATCCTCATCAGAGGACAGTGGTCCCAGCTGGCCCGTGGCAGCCATAGGCTTCACAAAAGAGACATGGCCAGGGGCTCAGAAGGGTGTTAGAAGCCTGGGGCATTAAGCTGTATGATGGGAGCTCTGGGGAGACAAGGAAGAGGGGGCAGTATCTTTAGTCCCAGGGGAATTGATTTCCACATTGAGCCCCATGCTGCCCATCCAAAGCTCCAGGTCACTTTGACCCAAAGACCCAGGAGTCCTGGCAGCTGAGCCAGGTGTCTCTGAACCCAGCCTCCTGGAGCTGTCCTTGGTATCCTAGGGCAGCTGCACAAGCATGCTCTGACCTGGGAGCAGGGCGGGGGCGGCAGGTGAGCCCAGAGAGGGGCCCGGATTCCACACGGCAGCAGGCCCGAGGCCTCTTGAGGAGCACAGAGATCCGCTCAGGCCCCTGCTTGGACAGCTGCAGCCCAGGTTTGCCTTGCGGTCGGCCCCTGCTTTGGGGTCACAAAGGCCTGTTAGCAGGAATAATCAGTCCCCTTTCCAGAGCGGACATGCCAGGGGTATGGCTTATATGCCCAAATGAGAGGGAAAAACAGAGATCTCAAGGCGACCTCACTCCTTCTCAGGGACAGCCAAGAGGAGAGGCTTCTTTACCGTTGGGAGAAAGGGGCCCTCTTCTGGCCCTCAAAGGGATATGGGAGCCTCCCTAATCTGCAGGTTAGCCAGTGGCCTCTCCCCGCTGGCATGCTGGTCCAGAGCTTCATGCCTCACCTGGAAGGCTTTTCTAGGAAATTTCCACCGTTTGGCTTTGTAGGTTTTTAAGGCTATTTTCCTGGCTCCCCCTGACCCCGTCAGGGCCTTTCTTCTCTGCTTGCGTGCTGTGGCTGTCTTTGTCTTTGTGTCCTTCGTGGAGTCACACAGAAATTAGCACGCAGGAGCAGGAGGGCACTTGAGCTCCCTAGCGGATTGGGAGGGGGCCACAGATCTGCTATGGGAGGCAGGGCTCCCTAAGCCCCCAGGAGTACATGGAGGAGATTGTCACCAAGCTGGAGAAAGAACATGTGTCATCAGAGGACCTTGTTGGTGGCTTGTTGATGGTTCAATGAGTTTTAATGTCTGAGATTCAAAAGTGGAGAAAATCAGTCATTTATCCCAGTGTTTTGTTTACAAACCTGGATGGTTTGGAGTCATTCAGACGCTGAAGGACTTGGGTTGGATTTTTCCCTTCTTTTCCACCTGGAAGAGTGGTGCGCTGTATTGGACGACAGAACAGGGGATTCTGCATGAATAGATCCGCAGGCCTCCGCTCTCCCCAAGGCCCCAGCTCCCCGGGATGCTGGCGACTGTGGGTCCCCTTGGATAGCAGAGTGTGGAGGTCCGTCTTTCCTGTGGTGCAGCCTCTCCGCCTACTCCTTTAGGGCAGTAGTGAGGGGGTGGGAGGATGTCACACCTTTCAGGGGACGTGGGGTCAGGACCAGTGGTCCAGGGAGCGTGCCCTGGCTCCCTCACAAGGTAGTTCTAGGACTGCAACGAGAGGCTGGGTGAGGCAGGCTGTGGAGGTGGGGACAAGGTGAAAAGGGGGTCCATCCTTTTATTACACAGCAGGGTTGAAAGTTTCTGATTTCTCTGTCTGGCACGTTGCCCTGCAGTTTCCTGGGCTGGCCTTATTCAGGGTGTGCAGGCTTCGTGGAACATGCAGTTACTTCATGGTAAAGCTGGGCGCTGGGCTGTCAGGCTTTGGGGGGTGGGGTGTGCACCATCTGGAGCTGGTTGGCATTTTCCTGAAGTCAAAGGCAGTCCACAGACTTCCTGCCCGGCTTCTCGGGGCCCTGGAATGGTTCCCACCTGGACCCAAGACCAGGGACATTTCATCCCCCTGGATAATTTGTGTCCCAAACCCTCGAGGACCCAGCCCCAGCCAGCACCAGGGCCATTCTTTGCCAGCTTCTTTTCTACAAACACGTGAAAAATTGCCTCCCCAAGTTTCCATTCTCCACCTCTCCCGCAATTTTCTGGCCTCCCCTGATTTCAGCCTCCAGGATTGAAATTCTTTCTCCTGGTCTCCACGAGGAATTGGTGAAACAGAAAAAGCAGGATATTAATGTCCCAGCCTCAAGGCTCCACACAGCATTAGATGGAATTAAAGTAGCATAATGAGTCGGTACACACACAACTCTGTTGTTCTTTGATTTTCCTTTCAAAATTCACGTAGGGAACACTTCCTCCATCCCGCACCGTCTTAGGCTGAGAGACTCGCTAGCTCCTGAATGAATTTACATACCAAATGGGTTTTAATTTTATATTTTCGCTTAAGGTCAGGACATTTATTTATTATCATTATTTATTACTGAAGCACGAGTGATTTTAATTATTTTAGTGTTCCTCCTACAAAGCGGGATGGCTGCTAGCTACGGAACATTTTCCGTTTCCGCTCACATAAATAATATAGTTTTTAATTTCATGAAGATTTAGTATTCATCTGCTTTGTAAATTAAAGTCATCGTTTACCACAACAGAGACAGAGTGTTAGGAACATCCTGGTGGACTTTCTTAGCCTCTCCTTTGGTGATCACTTTTCCTAGCTTAGGTCATCTGGTGCAGGTGCCCAGACCGAGGGACCCTCCGGGGGCCAGAGGGAAGAGCGCAGTGGGCTGTGGGAAGGGAGGAATGCGGGCAGGGGAGGTAAGCTCCTGCTCTCACTGGTGGCACTTGCTTTTACATATATTACCCCATTTGTTCCCCATAAAACCCTTCCAAAGCCGGTGTTTGTGTCTCTACCATACAGATAAGACAATAGGTTCCTGCACGTTAACTAACTTGCCCCAGGCAACTCAAATCCAGGGGACAGGTTCAGATCCCTGTATATCTGACTCCCAGGCCCGGCCCCTTTCTGTCCCTCCTACAAGCCCTCTCAGCGCCAGGGCCTGGGAAGGTGGGCAGGTGTCAGTACCCAGAGCTGGGGGAGGCTGCAGCCAGCATGGATGGAGCAGAAACAGAGAAAGAAGGAGCAGGTAGGATGGTGGGGGGCGGCAGCCACTGGCCAGGCCATGAGTGTGACTGTGTGTGTCCGAGTGAAGAGAGGAGAAGCACCCTGATTGTCTAGGGACAGAGGGGCAGTGTCCTCAACACACAGCAGGAGATTCAGTCCAGCCACTCCAGAGTCGCTGAATCGTATGGAATCCCCCCCCACCCGTCGCCTCTGCCATCCCTCCCACTTTTTCTTTCCACCTAAACCCTCATCTCTTTCAGGGAGGCTGCCAGGCCCATAAATTATGAGTTCCCCATAAATTAGGATTCCCTGTCTGTAAATCCCTGTCCCCTGACTCTCTGAGACCATCCATGGCCATGCCTGGGCTGGCTTCACCCTTGGGAGCATTCCCAGAGGGCCGCCGATGGTCAATCAGGAAGCGTTTCGCACTTCCCATTGTGTGTCACAAGGACACCATTGCATGGCACTGGGTCCACTTTTGCTGCCAGGGTAGCCTCTGGAATGAACAGACTGTTTGGGGTTGCCATGGAGAAGCTGGGCCCTTTGGTGGTTTGAGCTGCGCTACGCATAACAGAAGGCCCTCGCCACCAGCCGGGCCGGGCAGGGCAGCAGCCTCACACCCCTGTGCCCTCCCTGGGCGCTCAGTGCCCTCTGCTCAGATCTAGCCAGCCAGCTGTGTCTCCATGCCTTCCGGCTATTAGCAGGTTAAAAACATATTAAATGATGCCAGCCTCGTTATGCAGGGGTTTTCTTGAGTTCTTACCCAGGCTCTGGCTACAGACCAGCCCCTGTGAGACTGTCTCGAAGCAGAGGTCTTCATGTCCTGGTGGCTGTGTCCCCAGGGAGAGGAAGGAGTCTGTTTTTTAACTGCGCTCATGTCGGAGCGGAACCGACTGAGTCGCTCGGACGCTCTCTGCGATTAATCAGGGGCCGTGCCATACTGTCCTTGCACACAACGTGGCTTAAATTCAAGCAGAAAACAAAGCTCACACTGAGTCATCCTTCTCCATAAGGGAAGATGAGATTGTGTTAGCAGGACTACAGCGAGTTAGGGGAAATCCCCTGCCAGAGCAGGAATGTACCTCTTAGCGCCTCTTTAATCCCTCTCCTGTGGGCATCTCCCTCTAAATGAGAGTCGTAGGAAGACTTTGATGCTGGGGCAAAGCAGTCTCTTACCAAGAACGGCGAAATTCTTTTCTCCATCTCAGGCAGTTTCCCTTAGGAGGACATAAATAAGTGGGAGATTCTTGGCGCATACTTCACCCATTTTTCAGATTTTCTTCCTTCTTATTCATGGCACTAATTTAAGTGGTACTTCTGGATCGGTACCAGCCAAATGGGTGCCTGGGGACACAGGAAGTCTCCAGGCTGTGTTTAGAGTCAAATAGAGCTAATGGCGAAGACTCTTCCCACTGAAAAGGGGAATAAAATAGCTTTCAGAGCCGGATCTCTTGCTGCTTTATATAGGGGGCCCTGCTTTTGTTAGGCGGGCACCCCCGAAATCCATACCCACACATTAAAAGGCCTTTTCGAGGGAGGCTGCCTTTTAAAAAGGTGCAATTAAGCATTTGTTTGCCATATCCCCTATTTTGCAGAGGAGGAGATTGAAGCCTGGAGATTCAGGAGCCTGCCCGAGGTCACATAGCTGGGAAGAGACAGCGCCTCCCACTGCGATCTGAGAGCTGGTTCCGTGTGCTCAGAAACTTGTTGTTTGCTGAGTGTCTGTGCAGGTCCAAACCTCTGATGGGAATAGTGCTTCCTCCACTCAGCCAATCACCTGCCCCCAGGGACCCTCAGTCTGGCTGCAGAGGCAGCACTAGGCAAGGAGAAGGTCAGGGAACAAGATGAGGCCACTTGTAATTAGGCTTCTGGCTCCAGCAGACGTGGTGGCCATCCTGAAGGAGGCTGGGGCCGGACGGGTGTGGGTGGGCAGAGACTGGGAAGGGCAGGTGGAGGGGCAGTGGGATGGCTCAGAAGACGCCAGCCTGGCAGGCGCAGACGGTACCCAGCAGAGAACGGGGAGAATGAGGCTGCGTGAGTGAGAGGATGGGGAGAGCAGGGGCTCAGGTGCCTAGATAAGAATTTGGGCTTGATCCCCCTAGAGACCGCATAAGGGGAAAATGGTGCTGGAATCGAGATCCAAAACCCTGGACCTCAAAACTCGCTGTGTCCCTTTGCCCATCTCTAGAAGGAGTGTCTGAAAAGTCTCCTCTGGCCGTCACAAACTGCCAATCCAGGGCAGGACCTGGGGAGCCTCGTAGGTTCTTCTAAAGAGAAGAGACAAGTGGCTTCCACGGAGATGCAGCATCCTGGCCCTCCCCGCACCCCGCTGCCTGTGGAGCCCTGGACCCTCGCTGCGATGGCTGCTCCTCCTCTGGGGCCGCTGGTGGACACAGGCTCCACCCCAAGGAGGAAGGCTCCTTTCCGATGCGGAGAGCACTGGGTTCTGCAGCACTTGGAGACATCATAATGTCAGCTGGCGGCTCTGCAGGGCATGGGGAAACAGCGTCACATCACAGGGACAATAATAACCAGACTGGGCACACTCAAGGTTGGCACTAAGAGCAACAGTGATGACGGTTGGCATTTATTGAATATTTACTGCCTGCCAGTCATGAGTGGGTGCCTTGCAAGCATTTTACTTCAAATCCTGCGGGCAGGTGTTATCCTCCCCATTTTAAGATAAAAAACGTGAGGTTTAGGGGAAGTTCATTTGCCAAGATCATCTGCAAAGTAAGCAACCTTCCAAGGTTTTGAACTCAGGTTCGTCTGACTCCAAGACTGTGGAAATGTCGTCGTGTTTGCCTCAAGCAAAAATGAAAATCCAGGCGGCATTCGTTGTACTGCTTGCATGCACATGTGCACATTCACACACAGCCCTGTCTTGGTTGCACCCACTTTCCCTGATGCACAGCTCCCCCTGCAGCCACGGTTGGCTGCGTGGGAGCTGTCACCACGCAGTCACAGGAAGAACTGATTGCCCCTCTCCAAGGACAGATCACAAACTCAGGAGCACAGCAGGGTCTGCAGCAGAGAAGCCCCCCAGGACGCCCACTTGTGGCCCGGGGGCGGCCCAGGGGAAGGCTTCAGCAGAGGCCTGGCTGCAGGCCACTTGCCTTATGATTGGGGGTCTTCATCATGCCGGCTCCCTGGGCTGTCCTCTCTCCAAGATTGGCATGGGGAGCCTGCTAGCTCAAAATGGCCGGCACTGCAGTGCCCATTCCTGCCAGATCACTGGGGCAGACCCAAAGGCTGGGTTGGGGAGTGGGCATGGGAGAGCCAGGCCTGCCTGGCATGGAGCCCCTGGGAGCTGCCATAGTTCAGGCCAGCTTGCCTGGGGGAGGGTCACAGGAAACCCCCAGATTCCTATCCCAGCATTCTTTCCTATTTAAGGAGTGTTTATTACTTGAGCAGCTACGCTGGGACAAGCAGGGGCAAGAGAAGTAGAAAATGTTAGGTTTCTCAACGTCAGAGAACAGTGAGGAGAAAAGTGCATCATGCAGAACTGTCTGAAGCTGGTGGCAAAGACATTGACTGAGCTTCAAGCTCTGGTTCAAGGCCTAAGTGTACCCCTGGCCTTGCCTAATTCTCTTAGCACGTCTTGGTCTCCATTTCCTTGTCTATTAAGTGGGGACAATACAATGCCCCCGAATACCTCACAGATAGTTGTAGACAATGTCAAGGCCCTCTCCAGATGAGGAAGCCAGGGCCGTTCCCATCAGTAATAACAAGAAGAATGGTCGATTTCTTTAGCCACTTTTTGTTTTTTTTGAGGAAGATTAGCCCTGAGCTAACATCTGCCACCAATCCTCCTCTTTTTTGCTGAGGAAGACTGGCCCTGAGCTAACATCCATGCCCATCGTCCTCTACTTTATATGTGGGATGCTGCCACACCATGGCTTGACGAGTGGTATATATGTCTGCACCCGGGATCCAAACCGGCGAACCCCGGGCTGGCGAAGGGAAATGTGCAAACTTAACCACTGCGCCACCTGGCGGGCCCCTTTAGCCACCTTTTTAACTACCATTGACTCCTAAAATGGTAAAATATCTTTAAATATTTTAAAATATATTATGCATTACATATTATGTACATTTGATATCAAAAATATAAATATTTGTATATTTACATATATAAATATTTATATAGGTACACGTGTGTGTGTAGATGTAAATATACATAGACACGTACACATATGTATTTTGGAAAAGTGAGGATACTGGTTTCCGCTCTGAATAGCACCCATGATTTTTTTCCTCTAGCATTTTCTGTCGTGTGAACAGGGAATGTGTGTGTTCCTTTTTGCAATTTAAAAACAAAGGGAAAATGAGCTCAGATCCTTTGCAAGGCGCCCCGGGTGCCGTGTTCCTCCTCTGTACTTCCTTCACGCATAGATTACTTAGAGCAGCTCCGGGTTCAGCCAGCACTGCCCAGGTTTCCTCGTTCCACCACCTGCCTTAGGGTGTCCCCAAAGGTCCTGGCCCTCCCTCACATTCTGCAGTGTGGTATATATAGGTGCCACTTGAGGGAATGTGGCACATTAACCACAAGGTTTTTCACATTTTAAGTGTGGGACTAGGGTAGGAGTGAAGAGGGAATTTGTCCCCACGTATTAGCTGGAACGCAGCCCAAGCTGCAGGTTGGTGACACCGAAATAATTGGAGGTAAGAGCTGTGAGGCCATTAAGATAAATTTTTGACATAAAAATGTGGGCTGGTTCATAAAAGGTTGCAGTGACAATAGGTTATAGTGACAGCTTTTCAACAACTGTATAAGCCTCAGATGGAAGGGAATTCAGCATAATGAATTATGGGCAGTCTGGACAACACCACATCCTTTTATAGGCACAGATCTAAAGGAAGAATAAAGTTATTCAGACTGGCCCATATTCAATACATTATTGTTGAAATGTGGAATGAAGGAAGAGGGAAAGGGTTAGAGGCTTAAAGACTTAGCTACTAAGGTGGAAAGGCCTTGGTCTTCCAACCGGGCCACTGGGCGTTCTCTGGTCTAATGAGTGTTCTCACCCGGGGAAGCCCAGCTGACAGTTCCCACTCGCCTGGCAGGGCTCCCAGGCCTTCCTGTGACGGGGGCGTGGTTCCTCCACCAGCTCAGCTATTTGTGCGATTTTGCCCTATTGATGAAATTGCCTCTGTTGACTCTTGGATGAGACATGAGGGACCCTTCTTAAATGGGATGTTCTCTGGATGGGAGAATCCTGCCAGAAAGAAGGGAGCTCAAGGAAGGAGTGGGATCCATCAAGCCGGGAGACAGGAAAAGACCTGGCTCGCCCTGAACCTTGCTCGCCCCAAGTCTGTTCTTAGCCTCTGATCAACTTCTTGTCCTTGAGTCAGAGAGCAGAAGAGGCTACCTTTGACCCTCTCCACTTCTACTTAGCTAAGAATAATGACTGATAGCCATCATTTATTGAATGCCTACATTGTATCTGACACCGCATCGAGCACTTTGTGCCATCTCCTTTAAGCCTCATGACATAAGTATTATCCCCACTTTACAGATAAGAAAACTAAGGCCTGAGGAAGTTAATCTACAGTGAGAGAACGTTCAAACTGTTTGGAGTTTAAATTTGGATCTGTCTGACCCCCAAGACTGGGCTCCTCACCACTCCGCCACACTGTCCCAACCCGTGACTCTCACGTGCTTGAAAACTAAGCAAAAAGTGTCACCGAAATGGGAGAAGAGCTTGTAAACACCTTCCAGGGCTATTGAGGGGCTCAGCAAGTGGGGACGCAAGATATGCTCGGCTGCTAAAATTCACGCACATTTTAAACGGCCTTTGGTTGGGAGGAAAGCATCCTTGATAGTAAAGTGTCTGAGTTCAGTGATTTCACTCTGGGCGTATGAATTTATATTAATAATTTGCTAATTGCAGTTAAATGAGATGAAGTAATTTCTATGGCTGTAAGGCAGCAAAGTTGCACGCAGTCACAGGCCTGTATGTTCAAGCTCTCCGTGGTTCGCCACAGGAAGGCACTGGTAGGTCTGGGGTCTTGTTAACCATGCTTGTGCTTGTGAATGATGCTCTCTGGTGTCTCTGCCTTCAGTTAAGCACAGACCCATAGGGACCACCTCAGTCCCCTGGGAATTCAGGGCCAAGCCAGGGTTTATGAGAGCAGAACTGTGTTCTCATCTCTGTGATTTCCTTCCAGCTTCTCCAGTTCTAAAACAAGAACAGATTCCTTTAAGCAAGACCATTGGAGTGTAGGGGGATGTGCTCTTAGCTCTGAGATGGCCCGCGAAAAACAGGAGGGCACCACTGTCTTCGTCAGTTCTGGCTCTATGACAAAAATAACACTGACCGGGTCGCTTACAAACAAGAGAAATTTATTCTTCACAGTTCTGGGGGCTGGAAGTCCGAGATCAGGGTGCCAACCTTGGGGGGTTCTGGTGAGGGCCTTTTTCCTACTTGCAGAATGCTGACTTCTTGTTGTGGCAGAGAGAGCACTAGAGAACTCTCTGGAGTCTCTTTTATCGGGACACTATCCCATTCAGGAGGACCCACCCTCATGACCTAATTACCTCCCAAAGGCCCCACCTCTTAATACTATCATATAAGGAGTTAAGATTTCAAAACATGAATTTGGGGATGAGGGGCGGGGACACAAATGTTCAGTGGGTAACAACCTCACAGAGCATCTTTGATTGTTATGTCCTGGGGCTTGCCCACCACGCTGGACAAGTTTGTCTTGCCTGATGACTTTTCTATGTTGTCTCCAGAGATTTCCACCCTATATCCTAGCGTGTCATTTGTTTCTGCCCCAATCTCTCACAGGCCACGCCAGCTGTGCATCCGAGCCCTCCGCGGTGTTGGGCACCTGTGGGGCTCAGTTAACAGCTGCTGCTTCAGTGTCACACAGTGAAGGATGTTCTCGGGGCCCTGGGTGCACAGGAGGGCAAATAGCCGGGCTGAGGCAGGGAGTGGGGAGCAGAGTCCAGTGGTCATGGCAGTCACAGCCCTGGAGAAACTTACCCAGGGGCAGGGGGCAACAGTGAGGGTCCCTGAGTGTGTCCCTGCTCCTCTGCACCTGTGTCCCCTGCTCAGGGTCCCAGAGGCTTGCCAGGCTGTGCCTAGTTTCCGCGGGATTTGGAGACAAGCAGAGCACGGGCCTCTTCAAACACGGGGACAGCCCTGCTGGACAGTTAGACCTGACACTGACCCTGTGTCTCCTGGTGCATCTCCTGAGTCATCTGCCCAGCCCCCCACCCCAGCCCCAAGGCCCTTCCAAGGCAGACGTGTCGTGTTACCCTTTCTCCTTAGGCTTTTCTTAGTAACGGCACTGGCCGGGGTGGCTGCGTGGAGGCCTCCAGAGACATTCTGTCCTGGTCAGCCCCAAGGCTGCCGTGAGTCAGCATGTCCACACCACCCAGGAAGCCTCCTCCACACTCTGCCCGAGGTCCTGGGTGAGGTCAGTGGGGTACCTTTAGGAAGCCACAAAGGGGTCAGGAAAGCTGGGGCTCTGACATATAAGCAGGCGACCATCCCTCCCAGCCAAGAGACTGCTCCAGGACGCTGTTCTAAGTGAAAAGCTTATTTAAACTCTGTGTCTTCTCTCCTGAGAATCTGTTTCCTGGGTCGGAGGAAATGACCTGGAGGTGTATGAGGCTGGATCTCAGGTGCTACCCAGGCCTGGCCCTGGGGGACTGCACGCTGTTGGCTCAGAGAGATCAAGGAGCCGAGAGGGTTTGCCCAGCCCAGACCAGCTTGAATTTGCCAGCAGTTCTGCGGCTCATGGGCATCCTCTGATTTCTCAGGAAAAGGTGTCACAGCTCTGCCAATCAGCAAACGAGACACTGAATTAGGAGGGAACAGCTCCTGTGCCCCACCCAGTAGTGGCAGTCTGGGGTGAGGTCACAGGTGAGGAAGTGCCTCTCTGTAGGGTAGGTCAAGATCAGGCAGTGACTCACCAACCCCACCCCCCCCCCGACCCCCAGGGCAAATGAGGGATTAGGAAAGCAGGTCCAAGGTCAGAGGTGAAGTTGGGGGGAATTCTCAGGACCTGGCACAATGGAGAGTGCCCAGCCTGAGGGTGTTCCGGTGCCTGCTGCTCTGCTCTACACACCTGGGGGCGATTTGGGTCAGGAAAGGTAGCCAGAGGTGGGCCTGAACCCACAAGCCCTATTCATCCCTCAGGAATGGCCAGACCCCCACCTCCAACCAGCCATCGAGGAGTTCGCTGGAGTTCGCTGGGCCGGGCCTTGAGGCTGAGATGGAGGGGTCAGGACAGAGTGTGTGCCCTGAAGAAGTTAGCCTGGCACTGGGCCCTTGGAGTCTTGGGAGACCTCTGCTGGTCCTGAGCTCTGTGTCTCAGGACAAACATCTGGGATTCCATGGCTGAAGGCACCTCGAGGTCTCCCACCCAGCCCCTCATTGTACTGGCGGGCTCTGAGGCCCAGGCCTCTTGAAAGGCCCTGGGATATTTGGAAGAAGACTCTCCCCTGGTTGGTTTTCTGGTAGAGGGAGCTGGAGAAGGTGAGGACAGGGGTGCATGCCCTCTCTCTAGTGCTGGAGTCCAGGAAGGCCCTATGGACACATTTGAGTCCACTCTGCACTCCCCTCCCCAGCCCTAACATGTGCCCAGCCTTGGGAACAGCTCCCTGACTGTGGAGCCCAGGTGGACTCATTATCAGAGGCCCTGATGCAGCTGTATCCAGCGTCCAGAGGGACAGGGAGTCTGCACTCAGCTCATTGTGGGGCTCAGTGCAGGAACGGGTCTTGTGGGGCTCCCCCTGGTCACCCAACATCATTCCCATGTCGTGTCCTCCTGGCGTCTGTGCCAGGAGGTGCCTGGATTCGTAATGAGCTGGCCACA